TATGTGTCCCTGCTCCATTGGATTTGTAGCACACTCAGCTGCCTTAGCTCGGGCCGCACGAACGGATTCGATCCGATCGGAGTGTGCAGCCCTAAGGTTGGCCACTAAACGATTCTCATCAGTTTCAGACAATACCGCCCGAAGCTTATAACTCGCTGGGTGCAAAAAAAACATCTACTTTCTCATGTAAATCCTCCTCCTCCTCAACCACTGGCTCTGGGGCCTCGTGGCCATCGGAGTCGTAGGCTTGCTCGAGCTCGGGGTCGCCCCCAAACCAAATCCATCATCGCCATGGGGGGCCTCTGCATCAGCATCGCCGAAGAACTCTGGACACTCGGCGGCCATGATCTCTGCAAGCTCTGCCTCCAGCAGATCGGGTTCTTCGGCCTCTTCGCCATCGTCACCATCGTCTGCGATCGGCTCTACACCTGCTGCTGCAGAGCCTGCTGCTGCTGCCTCAGGGCCTGCAGCTTTTTTCTTAGGAACCCTTGGAACACACTCGACAACATTCTCGTCCCCAAGATCGCATGAACCCTCGCCAATGCCACTCCACATACATTTGGCGAAGTAGAGTTGCAGTGGCTGCTGTTTCGCCGACCTCTGCCCTGGAAGTTTTTTCTTCGCAAGGCGTTCCTCGTCAATTCGCCTCATTTGCACCATCTCGACCAAGAAATCACGCAGCGTGCTGATCAGCAGGGGTCGCATAAGGGATGCCATAACACAATTAGGATCGGAGTCGCTCTTCCTAAGCTCGCATCTGGCAACAAACAGACTGCTAAAATAACTCCAGGTGCAGATGAAGCCATGACGTACACCATGCACTGCCGAATCGAATGTGTAAACTAGTTTCGGCCCGATCTCCATGATACCGTAGCAACCATACGCATAGCCAGCTACTAGACTGTGGTACTCTGCAATGGGTGGGCGATAAGCTGGGCGACATGGAACTTGATCTAGGAGGGCAACAGGAAGGAAGCGATGGACATGCGAATCGTTTTCCATATCGCTACGAACCAACGCATCCATACCTTCACACGCAGCAGCTGAAATCCGATCACCTTTTTTGATACAAGTTCGGTCCGAAATTAAAGCGCGCCTGCTGTTCGGAGCAATCTTGCACATGACTTGGATCATCGATGCCATGCCCTCCAACTCTTGGTTGTCCAAAGGAAGAACAGATCGCCAAATTAAGAGCGCCCCATATAATTTCATCGGAACAGACCCTTTATCTCGCATAAGTGTAATCTCTGGCATGTAAAAGTCTCTGAATTTCTCTGCCATATCATCAGTGCCCTTGCACGACAGCTCCTCCGACGATGCATCCAACCACATTTTCGCGATCTCCATGCGAGTGGCATCCTCCACATGCGCTGGGGCATCCAACAACCTTAAAAGAAGCAATGGAAAAGTTCTCGTACGTCCCAATATTCGATACTGAAAAGCAGATGCCACCAACAAAACAATTCTCATGATAAGGCAAATCATTGAACCGCGATCGCCGTCATCAACAAACTGCCACACTTGCTGCCACCTCCCAGGGTCATACATGCTCTCCTCTGCAATTAAATTGTTCAAGTCGCCCCACATCACTTCCGCATGACCACATACGAGCTTTGATAAAGGTGTAGGCCCAAGATATGTAGACTCGTGTTTCTTTGCTTTGGCGATGTAGTTGTTGTGTTCCTTGACTGCCTTCTGACCACGTCAAAAACCTAGTTAATACCGATTTGCCAAATAGCGAGACAACCACCAGCCCAAGAAATTGTCTGGACGATGTCGCTGCAACTGCATTCAGTCTGTATTTTTTTTGTTGTTCCTGGTACTCGTCCTGGCGATGCTGCAAATGTCTAACACCTCCTCCAGTGGCCCTCGGGGTCGGGGATGTCCTCGCACCCTGCCCCCTGACCGTGCCCATCACCCACCAAGGCCACCCTGCCCAACCCCCCACACAATCACCGCCACCCAACCCTGGGAGCCTGGGTGGTGTTAGACGTTTGCAAACCTTAGCAGTCCTCCTCGTCGACGCCAGGTGCTGCTCGAGCTTTTTTTTTTGCGCGTTCAGCAGCTGCAATTTTTGGTTCGAACACCTTCTTGAACACATCAGCGACCACATCTGAAACATTATGGATATACGCCTCGACCGAATCCACTGAGCCCCAGCGACCTCGCAGGCATCTGCCTGGAGTCTTGTCGAAGCCCCTGCAGGTAGGATGAAACTCTGAAACAACTTGCTTAATTTTAGTTCGAATGCCAGTCGATCGCATCACATTCGCAATTGTCGCAAGTGAACTGAAATATGATTTCGAATGTGCCAATGCCCCATCCAGACTATCCAACACCTTCAGCACATCCTTGACGATGAGATGAATACAATAAAAAAAAAAAAAAGCATACCATAAGAGATACACATACATTGGGAAGTCCTGCTGTTGCTGCGCTCGCTCGCCTGAAGGACCCTGGGTTTTCGGACCCACCATCACCAGCCAAAACAAAGATACTCATGCGCTTGGGGTGCGACTGTGCATCTCCAGCACGATCAATCCACGACGGGCAGCCAATGCTCCCGAGCTCTCGAAGTAAGTGTGTGTACGCCTCGTCGGTCGTTTTCGATTCTACTGCTTGGAGCGCCCCTGCATGTGCGGGCGATGTGCACGAGCCACTGATCTTGTCAACACCTCCATCAAAACCAGAATGCGGTGCACCAACAGAAGTAATCAAAGACATATGAACTGCTTTTCGCTGAACTGCCTCGTGGTTGGTAGTGTCGGATGCTATCTTATGCACCTCGCAAATGTCGCCCACTTCGCTGAATTCAGAAAGGTAAGAATGGTAGCTCCGAATTCGCTTCGCACATGCGAGCCTGTGCTCGTAAATCATCACTGTTCGCTTGTCGGTAACAGCTCCTGCTACATCCCCCGAGGCAACCATTGCACACGTGGTGGCGGCACTCGAATGGCCCATGTTTCTTCTCAGCGCCAGTGTGTATCCAAAGTATGCTGAAACATGGCAATGAAAGCCTTTCCGGAATGCCACCTGCTTGAGAACGAGGTCCAACTTCTGCTGGAGCTCGATGTTCTTATCCTCGAGTCGCTCGATCGCGGTGCAACCGCGCTTCCGCAATCTTTCTGACGCTGCAAGTTGTTTTTCCAAGTCCTCGATTCGCAAGTCTCTCTGCACAATCATTTCGCATTTGTCGCCCTCGCCCAGTGCCATGTACTTGTCGTGGGCCTCAGCATCAAAGCAACTATATCTGGAAACTGTCGGTCGTTTTTTGCCCTCGTGGTACAAGCGATGACCCAGATGACTTGTTGATGCTACTTTTGACACAATCCTCAACATGCGATTCTGAAATATGTGTGTGGCAGAATGAAAGAATAGTCTGGGGTAGCAGCGTCCACCGAAACGATAAGCCATCATCGTTAATCAATGGTGGCCCAAAGGTATGCATACAAGTTGGCTGCCCAACTAGTTCGTGAACAAATTTTGCTATCTTGTGTCGTACCGATTGTATGTCCATCGTGCCAGTCTCGCCCCATATTCTGATTACGAGTTTTGCAGCATCCACGAATTTGATGTAGCCTTGTTCGAGCAGACCTGGCGCGGGTGTTGCAAACTCAAAAGCCGACTCGAATTGTGAATCGTGAACAACGAGAGTCATGTGGTATCGAATGTCAAGCAAAGCCAGACCCAAAATGGGCTACTGATAGAATTCGCATGGGTATGAACTCGTGATCTCAAGCCCCTAAGGTCCCAGTGGTGGAACTCTCAAGCCCCTCGTATGATAGAACTCTCAAGCCCCTCGCATGGGTATGAACTCGTGGTCTCAAGCCCCTAAGGTCCCAGTGGTGGAACTCTCAAGCCCATCGCATGGGTATGACCTCGTGGTCTCAAGCCCCTCGCATGATGAACTCGTGGTCTCAATGATAGAACTCTCAAGCCCCTAAGGTCCCAGTGGTGGAACTCGCATGGCGTATGCGCCCCATGTTGGCACACCCCTCACACGTTTCGTGGCCCCATAGGGAGCTCCACCTAATGTCCCAGTGGCGGAGCTCGCATGGCGTACGCGCCCCATTTTGGCACACCCCTCACACGTTTCGTGGCCCCAGAGGGAGCTCCCACCGAAGGCCCCAGCGGCAGGGTTCGCCTCCTCCTCGTCCTCCTCCATCCTTCCTCCTTCCTTTTTCTTCGTCCTTCTCCTCGTCTACCCCTCCTCCTCCTCCTCCTCCTCCTTCTCCTCCTCCTCTTCCTCCACCTCCTCCTTTTGATCCCAAAGGGCGCAAGTTGAAAAGCAAACCTAGAAATTGAAAACGGCACCGTCCTCCTAAAGCTCCCAAATGCTCTTACCCACATCATCATCATCATCATCGTCATCGTCATCGTCATCGTCATCATCATCATCATCATCATCATCATCATCATCATCTGCATCATCTGCATCATCATCATCATCATCATCATCATCATCATCATCGTCATCGCCATCGCCATCATCATCATCATCATCATCATCATCGTCATCGCCATCGCCATCATCATCATCATCATCATCATCATCATCATCATCGTCATCATCATCATCAGCATCATCATCATCATCATCGCCATCGCCGTCATCGTCATCATAATCGTCATCATCATCATCATCATCATCATCATCATCGTCATCATCATCATCATCATCATCATCGTCATCGTCATCGTCATCATCATCATCATCATCATCATCATCATCTGCATCATCTGCATCATCATCATCATCATCATCGTCATCGCCATCGCCATCATCATCATCATCATCATCATCATCATCATCGTCATCATCATCATCATCATCATCATCATCATCATCATCATCGCCATCGCCGTCATCGTCATCATCATCGTCATCATCATCATCATCATCATCATCATCATCATCATCATCATCTGCATCATCTGCATCATCTGCCTCCTCCTCCTCCTCCTCATCCTCCTCGTCTGGCGGGACCCAACCGGCCCGCCTGCGGCGTGCTGCAGCTGGACAGGCTCAGCGGGCCACTGCTGACCTTGTCCTCGAGGAGGAGGAGGAGGAGGAGGAGGAGGAGGAGGTGACGGAGACGGAGACGGATGAGGAGGAGGAGAAGGAGACGGAGGAGACGGAGGAGGAGGAGACGGAGGAGGAGGAGGAGGAGGAGGACGAGGAGGAGGTGGAGGCGGTGCAGGAGTTAGACAGTAGTGAATGGTGAGGGGCAGCATCAACGCAGCGCGCACCCGAACGGAGCGGCGCGAGTCGCAACCACCGTAGTTTCCGCCTTGATTCTGAGAGCAAAATTATCAGGAGGAGGAGGAGGAGGAGGAGGAGGAGGAGGAGGAGGAGGGGGAGGAGACTGGGTTGGAGACTTCTCTTGAACAGGCTGGCACAAGACAGGGACAAGACCGGGGGTAGACCCTCAACCCCTCCCGCCACGCCGGGCACGGCGAGTGCGTGCCAGGCCGAGGCGGAGATCTACCAGACTCGCTCCTCGCGCCAACCTGTCAAAGCCAGGAGGAGGAGGCGAGGGGGGCGGGATTGGACGGAATGGACCCCTTCGCGATGCGAATCCGAGCGGGAGGCGGGATGGGAGGAGGCGGGGGGGAGGCATCGGAGGATTCCAGAGGATCGTAGTGCGGGCTTCTGAGTTCCGAGTGGTCATGGGGGAATTGGGGGGGGTCGAGCAGGGGAACGGAGGGTCGAGCAGGAGCGGGAGGAGCAGGAGTGGGGCGCCAGCACCTCTCGGGTGATGACCTCGACCGCCGCTGCGGCAACGCTACTCCTGCGTGCTTGCTGACGTGCACCGTTCCTCCATGCCGCGGTCAGAAGCCTTCGGGGGGGTGCGCGCAGCAAGCGCCAGGGCCTCCGAGTCGGGGGCGGCAAAGCACGTGCAAGGCAAGCCACAAGCCGTGCTGGGCAACCACGCGCACTCGTCTGCGCGTGTGGGCGCGCCCCCAGGCAGGAGGACCAGCCCGGAACGCCAGCCAGCGCCGCGGCAGATTCTAACTTATGGAGCGGGAGCGAGACGAGGGGAACTGGAGGGCGGGTGGGAGTCAAGGCTGACGGGGACGCGGGGGGGCGGGAGGGAGGCGCGAGTGGGACGGCGGGCAGGAAGGGGGAGGAGAGGCGAGCGGGGGAGGGGGAGGAGGTAAGAGGGGCAGGTGCAGAGGGAGTGGCGCTGTGGACAGGCAGAAATGAGAGGGAGGCGAGGGACGAGAGTGCAGTGCACTGCCGGTCCCAAGCCAGGTCAGCACGAACAACAAAAGGTGGCGCGGTTCCTGTCCCGAAGGCGTAGTGAATGCGCCGCGTGGACTTGCAGACTGTACAGTACCTGCGTAAATTCACGGTCGAGCTTGGATGTTCTTCTGTGCGTTTCCTGGGGAAGCAACGCGCTTTCACTCCCAGTCGCGCGCGTTGCCTACATACCCGCGCCTTTCCTCAATACATGGAAAAAACATGGGCCACCAGTTTCGGTGACTGAGGCTCGGTTGGTATGAGCAAAACGCCGGTCGTACTCCGAAATGGCGCTATGCCCAAATCTGCACACCGCTTGCTCATCCACGCAAAATCGCTACGAACAGACCCTGCTGGCAAGTAGGCAGGATCAATCAGCATCGAACCGGGGAATCGGATCGAATCGGATTGCGCGTCGGACTGGGCCGGATCAACACCGAGTCTGAATCGAATCGAATCGGCTGCGTCGGGCCGCAGCGGATAGCCCGAACATCGGAATCGAATCCGAGCGAGCTGGGCGAAATTGTGCATCGAGCCGGGTCGATCGCATCGAAGTGTGGCCCTTGGCAGGAGGAACACCCCTTGGGGGACAACGCCGCGAGTCCGTCTCTGGCCCCACTGGCGTGCCGAGCCGAGCCTGGCCACCACGGCGAAGAGTGTGTGCGTGTGTCCGTGTTAGTGATAGTGTTAGTGTTAGTGTTCGTGTTGGTGTTAGTGTTAGTTTTAGTGTTAGTATTAGTGTTGGTTTAAGTGTTAGTTTTAGTGTTCGTGTTAGTGTTGGAATGTTACTGTGTCAGTGTGATAGTGTTAGTGGTAGTGGTAGTGTTAATGTTGGTGTTAGTGTTGGTGTTACATCCCCAGGCCGAAAGTTTTTTCCTCTTGGACTAAAAATATGAAGACACCAACGGATCCAATTGGATCCTTTTTTTCTGGCGTGGGAGAGTGTCGTGGATCCTATTTCTGTGCTGCGCGGATCCAATTTCCTGCGTGTGAAAAATCGATGGATCCATTCATTTCCCGGGAATAAATATATAGTCAAAATTAACATCCGGGACCCAGGGAAAATGGGATCCGCGGAGCACCGCAAGCGAAGCATCAGGCTATCCACGGAGCTGTGGATCTGCAGACCAATGCTATGATTCTACGGGGAAGGGGGGTCTTCCCAGGATGAAGAAGGGAAGGATGAGGGAAGAGGCAAAATGAGGTGGGAGGAAAACAGAGGGGATCGGCGCGTCGCTTCCGACATGTGTGGCTCAAGAGGAAAATTTCTCGGCCTGCGGAAGTAGTTTTAGTGTTGGTTTAAGTGTTAGTTTTAGTGTTAATGTTTGAATGTTACTGTGTTAGTGTGTTAGTGTTAGTGTTAGTGGTAGTGGTAGTATTAGTGTTGGTGTTGGTGTTAGTGTGAGTGTTGGTGTTCGCGTTCGTGTTTGTGTGTTTGTGTGTTTGTGCGTGGGGGGGGGGGGGCGAGCGGCCCCCCAGGTACGGGCCGCCCGACGGGCGAGGAGGGGCAGAGCGGAGGGAGGAGGCGCCAGCTAAAGGCCAGACTCAAAAACGTGCGCAAGGCGCGCGTGCACACGGCACTACGGGTTCCGCGGAGGGCGCGTGTGCCCCGGCCACCACCGTGTCAATGTTGAGCTACACTGTCAACGCCTCGCTCTCCTGGGGCTTTGCTGGTGTGCGGAGCTACACTGGCAGTGCCGCGCTTTCCTGTGGCTTTGCTGTGTTCCTGCTCGCAACACACACCGCCAGAGGCGGCAGAGAGCTTGAGAGATCCACCTACCAGAAGTCCAGCCAGGGCTGGACCTAAACGTTGTTCTTCGTTTTGTTTTCGTTTTGCTTTCGTTTTGCTCTGCCTGTTTTCCTGTACCTCCCTGCCAAAACAAAAAACAAAACACAGCCGAAGTCCAGCAAACCAGCGCTTAGGTCCAGCCCTGCTTCCAGCTGCCACACGCGCGACGAGAAAGGAGGGAGGGGGGCCGACGATGAGACGCGGGGCACGACGGCCACGAGGCGCGCTCCTGTGACAGTGGGTGGCACGCGGCGGGCTGCGCACTGGGTAGGAAGCCATGCCCGCCGAACACCGAGCTCAAAGAAACAACCAACAATAACGGCGATCTGCAGCGGCAGCAGCCGCAGTGACTCCGGTCAGACCGCTGCTCTTCGAGGGAGGGGAAGGCCGGATGCAGTGAGCCAGTCATGCCACACGCACGCCAGAGCGCGTGGGCGAAGGAAGGCATTGCCAACATATGCTCACCGCTTTGAAACAACGACAACACAGCCAATGTCTAATTTACGCCGCGCGCGGCTACGGGATGCTGCTGCTGATGCTGATGATGATGGAGATGATGATGGTGATGCTGGTGATGATGACGATGCGGATGCTGACGCTGATGCTGATGCTGCGGATGCTGATGCTGATGCTGATGCTGATGCTGCTGATGCTGATGCTGATGCTTCTGCTGCTGCTGCTGATGATGATGATGATGATGATGATGATGATGATGATGATGATGATGAGATGATGGTGATGACGAGAAACATGAGACAGAAGAGGAGAAGGAAGACGATGAGGACGAATGAGGAGGAGGAGGAAGAGTAGTAGAAGGAGGAAGCGGATGAGGAGGAGGCAGAGCAGGACGTGGTTAAATTTGAAAATGATAATGATGATGCTGATGATGATGTAATGATGATGGCGATGACGATAACGTTGACGATGACGATGACGATGATGATGATGACGATGACGATGACAATGACAATGACAATGACGATGATGATGAGGATGATGATGATGATGATGGTGATGATGATGATGATGATACGGACGATTATGATGCTGATAATGCTGGTGATGCTGATGATGATGTTGATGATGATGCTGATGGTGCTGATGATGATGATTATGATGAGGATAAGGATGAAGATGATGATGGTGATGATGATGATGCTGATGATGATGATGAGGAGGAGGAGGAGGAGGAGGAGGGGGGGGCAAGGGGAGGAACATCACCCAGGCGACTTCATCTGGAACGAAAGCGGAACCCAGAGGGCTTGGTTCCCGTAGAAGAAAGAAAGTCATCCTTGGCGAGGGGTTCGGGCACGGGGGCTGCCCCTGCCTGAAAGTCCGGAAGAGGAGCGAACTCTCAGCCGCCGGGGCGCGGGCGCACGGGGCCCCACCCCCCCCCAACGCAACCAGAGGAGGACACGCGCGAGAGCCCATGCCGTAAATGTGATGCGGCACCACTCTGATAGTAGTTGTGCCAGGGAATTGTGCTAGTGATACTTGCACGCTGCTGTGTGTCCTATTTCCGAAATCGACGTTCTATACTGTCTCCGTATTCCTTGATCGCAATTCTATCATGTTTCCGTACTCCCAAGTCGCGATCCTATGGCATTTCCTGATTCCTAAATCAAGTCGATGTACTGTTTCCTTACATGCCACAATCGCAATTCGATAAGACTAGATAGTAGTACTGCATGACCTGGTGCACTCTGGAGCAGCTGTGCACTAGCACATGATGGTGCCAGTTGTACTCAAATACTAGGTGCACTCTAGCTGGAGGGGTTCAGGGGTTCCAACACCATTACGCACGCGGAAGAAGAAACCAATCCATGCGCCGCCAGGGGTCCTGGTTTCAACGGCTCGCCGCGAAGGTGGACCCCCCGCAGAAGAAACAACAAAACCAGCGGGGGGGTTGGGGGGTTCAGGCATAGGTCGCGGGGGCGATGCAGGAACAGGATGAAGATGAGGACGAAGATGAGGAGGAGGAGGGAGGAGGAGGCGGATAGGGAGTGGAGGGGGGGCAGGTCCACAGTCTGAGGGGATGGGGGGAAACACGATTCATAACGAACGCGCCTGACGCCCTCCGGCAGGGGAGCCGATGGGCCAAAGCCCGAACTGCTCCGATCGGCAAGCGGTTGGCGTGCAACTTGTGTTCAGCGCACCGACGCCCGGGCTCACTGAGCGGAGCGAAGCCCGACGTCGTGCACGCACCACGACCCGAATCTTTGCCCCCGCCCGCGCGCGCCAAGGCCCACGCCGGGCCCGCCCGCGAGGGCCTCGGGGCCCAAGGCGGGGCAACGACACCCAGTTTCCGCCGCGGCGACGGCGATGCCGCTCGCGGCGATCCGAGCGTCGCCGGCTGCGCGGCAGCGAACTGCGCCTGCACGGGGGGCACAAGGAGGAAGGGCGGCCGCGGAGGGAGAGGATGGGTGGGCGAGGTTCCTTTGACAAGGGGGGCGAATGACGCTGGCACGAGCACCAGGCCCCCCGTCCACGTCCCTGCCTCCGTCGAATGAAGTTGTGGGCACAGAGGCCGTGTTCTGCGACAGGCGACGGGGACAACGGAACAGTATCGCAGGGCAAAGCGAGCAGAGCAAAGCGCAGAGCAGCCCCCATCGCAGCCCGTGGCAGGGCAGGCGCGCTCCACCCCTCGCAGCGTCACCGCTCGAAAATGGCCTGCGTTCGCCGCGGGGGATGCACGATCGTACTGCGTCGAGGCAACACATGTGTGCTTTGAGACGCTTGCGAGCAGGCACCCGCCCGGCGAATAGCCGCACAAGAGCGCGATCACCTTCGCATCCCCTGCGACCCAGCTGGGCGGCCGGGCGAGATCGGCGGGAGCGGTTCGGCCGCGCGCGCGCGCGAGCGGTCCATGCCGCGGATGGACGAGGCGCCCTGGCAGATGCCCTCGTCGAGGCCTGGGCCCCCGTGTCTTGCATCAGGTCGGGCATGTCCCCTACGGGCTGATTTTGGACAAAAAATAAAAAATACTCAAAACATCTCCAAACATACTATCTTTAGATTATTGTTGGATGTTCCTCCTGTAGAGGGACATGCCCGACTTAAGTCTTGCGGGGGGGCAGCGGGGGCGCGAGCTTGAGCTCCGTGCCTGGTCGTCGACGACGTCGCCGTCGCCGTCGCCATCTCGCCGTCGCCGACGACGTCGTCGTCGTCGCCGTCGCCGTCGCCGTCGCCGCCGCCGCCGCCGCCGTCGTCGTCGTCGTCGTCGTCGTCGTCGTCGTCGTCGTCGTCGTCGTCGTCGTCGATGTCGTCGACGACGTCGATCTCGTCGTCATCGTCCTCGTCAAACCAAAACTTATCAATCCACAAAATCACTGTAAAAAGGGATACAGATCTGCCCTGATTTGCGCAATGGCAAATGGCAATGCTAAGGACATCCATGGTAACGATACCGTGCCAGGGGTTGTGCAGTGCTGCGTTGTGCCCAGTTGTGCTGCAATGTGCGGTTTCACTGATATGCGTTTTATTGCGTTGTGGATCAAATTGTCCTTGGCATCCATTCGATGACTGGCAGGGGCTCGATGGAGACTCCCCTCCGGTGAGGGCGGCTATGTGAGCCATGGGAAGCCTGTACGGAGCGGTGATGCCGAACTCTTCGGTGTGACCGTGACCCAGGCTGCCCACGACGGCGAAGACTGCGCAGTCCTGAAGCGGCCACAAGGCGTTGTTGGCGCCTCGAGGTTTTGAGCGACTGCAGAGCCACGACTCCATGCTGCCTGAACCCGTGGGCTGCGCAGCCGCTCACGAGCCCCAAGGCTCACACGCGGTGGCGCACGCGCGGCCCCCACGGCTGCGCACGGAGGCCGCCACTGGTGGTGCTCCGGCGCCAGCTCGAGCATGGACGGCCTGCAGGCAGGGTGGTCCCTGTCGGGCGTTGGCAAAACTGGGCTTGGTGGGACCTGGTTTAGTGATGTGTGCTGGTAGACGCCCCCCCCCCGTTCCACTCACAGGAACTGCCGTCACCCGGAAAAACATCAGCTACGGCAGACCTGGTTTGGTGATTCTGGCCAGCTTAGGGGCTCTGGGGCCCTGCCACTGACAGGGTCCCCTTACTGGGGTCCTGGCTACACCCGACCCCCGGCCCGCCACCAGCAGCCTGCCCCGCGCCGAGCTGCAGCTCGGGGCTCGCCCGAGGGCCTCCGCGCAGCGCCGTCCGCAGCGCCTTCTCGCGCGCCGGGCGCCGCCCGGGGCACGCTGCGCGGGGTCCTGGCGAAGAGCCCTGCAGCGGTGCCGCTCGACCGCGCCACCGCGCCACCGCGCCAGCGCGCCGAGCGGCCTGATGCTCCAGCGTCAGCCAAGCCGGCCGATCCAGGTGCGCACGTCACCCAACTTCGCGCACCGCGCCCCGCGCCCCGCGAGGACCTTGGCGCCTTCGCGGCCTCGCGCCGCGCCCCCCTCTGGAGAAGGCCAGTCGCTGCGGCCCCGGCCGCGACGCGCGACGCGCGACTACCTTCGCGCCCCCGCGGGTGGCCTGGGGCACGCGCGCAGGCTCCGCGAAGCGCTGGTGGGCGCGGAGCTGAGTCACCGTGAGGACTTCCAGCTCCTGGCTCGGGCTGGCCTCTGGCCTTCTGTTGTCCCCGTCGTGCTTACGGACCACATCCCAGAAACGATCTCGAGCAGCCAGAAAGGCATCGAAGCAGTGTCGAACGAGTATCGCCTCCCAGGGCCCGACGCGCGAAGACCCTCCAGCTTCGGTACTTGCTCAGTGCTCGGATTTCTGTCTGGTGACCAGGGCTGGCAGCAGGCTGGAGCATCAGAACTCTGGCCGGGGCCCGCGAATGCGCCCCGTCCTGCATCGGAGGGCGGGCCGAGGGCCAGCGTGGACTCGACCCCGGGGGCTCTCGAGGAGCGTCCGCTGACGGCCCAGGCCCTGGTGGGCCCTGGCGCGTCCGGTCGCACCAGGCCCTGGGGGGCCCCCGTCCTGGATGGACCACTGCGACAGCTAGATCCTCGGTATCGAACCCCCGCGTGGTTGGGCCTCGCGTCTCTAGAGGCGCTGGGGGCTGTCAGGAACACGCTCTTTGTGCTCCCGACCGGGGGCAACCACCTATTGACAACTACGCCACCAAGTGCTACATTCATTGAGTCATCACGCCTGGCCAGCCCTATCCAGAGCAGTCACGTACTCATAGCATTGCCTTCTTCACGATGCTCCATCGGGGGCGCGCAGGCGTTCACACTGTCCGCCTGCATGTGCCATCCCTTCTTCACCTCTGTGCCGCCGCTCTCGGCTGCTGGAGGGGCGTCTTGGACTTCGCGGCAGAGCCAGAGCCCTTGGCACTGCCACTTTCTATTCTTCATCTGGCTGCCAGATGGCACTCCTGCCATAGGATCGTGCCGACGCCTGTGGGACGGGTGAGTAATCCTTTCCCCTGCTGGCTCTTGCAGCGTGGAGCCAGAGGCCTGGGCACGTGCTTCTACAATATTGGCACCCCGGGCGCTGCGTCTTTAATGACTCGCTGGTCGCCGAGTCACAAATGTCACACGGCCGACGTCCATCTGTTTCCTTCCTTGGCGGAGTTCTTTCCCTGCATACATAGGCCATAGGCAGCTACATGGCCGCCGGGTGTTCGTCTTTGGCCACCTGTGCCTGGCTACACATGACAAGGATTGGCGTGAACGAATCATCATCATGTCCAGCGTTCTTGAGACCGATCTTCTTTTCGGTCATCATGTGAGCGTTTTTTATTTGGCGTTTCGACATTGGGCGGAAGGGGGGGGAGGGGGGGGTCTGGCTCCAGACCTCTGCTTAACGCGACTGTCTGCAGCACTGGGTCCTATAAGGGGAGACTCCCCCTGCCTGAAACAGGCGCCCAAAACAGCCAAGATCTACTCCACCGGGGGGGGGCTGCGAGGGCCCGCGCAGGTCGGCAAAAGAACGAATAACAAAAACGCTCACGATCTTCTTCGCTGCAGCTCATGTCGACCCTCTGGGCCGGGGGTCGGCCCGGCTCGCGCGCAGCAAGAGCAGCCCCGTCCTGGAGGATCGGCCTCCCTGTGAGCCTCTTCTGCTCCTCCCCTGCCGGCAGCTTGCGGAGGGGTCGGGGCAGAGGCCCGAGGGGGGGCTGCCTGGGCTCTCGCCACCTCTCGGCAGGGGAGTGCCAGGAGACGACGGCGATCCTCCAAGCACCTAGCTCGCCCACGAGTGGACGTCGTCGTCGTCGTCGTCGTCGTCGTCGTCGTCGTCGTCGTCGGCGGCGGCGTCGGCGTCGGCGTCGGCGTCGGCGTCGGCGTCGGCGTCGGCGGCGGCGGCGGCGACGTCGGCGTCGTCGCAGGAAAGGCCCTGACTGCCAGGAGACGACGGCGATCCTCCAAGCACCCGGCTCGCCCACGAGTGGACGTCGCCGTCGTCGTCGTCGTCGGCGGCGGCGTCGTTGTGGCCGTCGTCGCAGGGAAGGCCCGGACTGCTAGGAGAAGACGGCGAACCTCCAAGCACCCGGCTCGCCCAGGAGTGGACGTCGTCGTCGCCGTCGCCGACGGCGTCGGCGGCGGCGTCGGCGTCGTCGGCGTCGGCGTCGTCGGCGTCGACGTCGGCGTCGTCGTCGTGGTCCGTGGCCACCCGCGCCAAGCACTGTGGAGCGGCAAAAAGCGCCTGCCCCGCGGTCCGCTCTCGGGCCTCTCCGCTCACGGAGGGGGGCCCGCCCCTGGCAAGCCGACCCTGCGGTCGTGCCACGGGGACGCGCACTGAGAAACCAGCTGCTTTTCGTCAGGGCACCCTGGCTGTATTCGCTCCGCGCGCTGCGTGGTGACTTCCCGCGGCCGTCAGAGAAGCTGCTCCGCTCAGGATGCTCCCAATTTTCCCTCGATTGCCCCTCGCGCGCGGGACTTCAGATGTTGGGCTTCCTGCGAAAATTTCTGGCGGCCGCGCCCGCACTGTACTCCGTGCTCTCCGCTTTCCAGGGAGGTCGGAGGCGGAATCTCTGGGGAAGCAAACCCTCGACCAGAGGCTAGCGGCCCAGGTGGCGAAAGGCTCGGAGATCCGAGAATGCCGAATCTTTTGACCGATCGTGGAAGAGTTGGTGCCGTGCTGCGGCCTACTGGGGTGCTTGTTGCGACCCCCAGGAAAACCCCGCTTCTCATCCGATCGCCCCCCTCCGCTCCTCCGCTCATGTTTCCCCTCTCTCGCCCCCTTCGTGACCGCTACATCCCACCTTCTATGGGCAGTGAACATATTCTTCCTCCTCCTCCTCCTTTCTCCTCCTCCCCATGCTCCCCCGCCCCCTCCCGCTCCTCCTCCTCCTCCTCCTCCTCCTCCTCCTCCTCCTCCTCCTCCTCCTCCTCCTCCTCCACTCCTGCTCCTCCTGCTCCGCCCATGCTGCGGCTCCTCCTCCTCCCTCCTCCTCCTCCTCCTCGTCGTCCCCACCCCTCCCCAGCGCCCCCGCCTGTGGATCCTGGAACTTGCTGGCAACGCTCTCCACGCTGGCGACGGCAGCGCCCCCCCGCCGCAGTGGCTCAACGGAGGCCGGGGACCGCGCGCGCACGGAGATGAGGAGAAGGAGGAC